GCGAAAATAGAAAGGGGTGATGATAAAGAGAATAACACGATGTCCCTCTGATTGTCTTGTCAGTAAACTCTTACCAAGAAAAGTAATTCTGTGCTTTTGGACACCACATTTCTCCTTAATGAACCCAACAGGAGTGGAGCATTCACAAGGTAGCAATAAATATTAAAATAACACTTTTGAACAATAAATACATAAATGACTGTGGAGGCATTGACTTGTTTAAAGAGTCAACTGATGCCCGGGCTTCCAGCTGATCAAATTCCAGAGCTGTTATAGTAATGCAGGTTTAGGAAAAACACCGACAAGGTACAACATATACTCTAGAATCCCCCAAGCACCGACACACGTTTGCTTGGTTATTTCTGCTGCTCAGGAAAAACCTGCCCCTTTGGACTGTTTGGAGAGTATCAAACTCTGGGTTCCTTGACTTCCCAGGTAGAACCCATGACCCACATTTCTGAGAAAGATTAAACAAGGGGAAATGAACTTTCGGTTCCCTGTATCGGTTAAAAGCATCCTGCAGAAAATAGCCTAACAAGGAATAAAAACTGACAGTAACTTTCTTTTCAAGACATAATAATCCAATTAGAAAAAAATTGAAGCTTTTCATAATTTTTATACATATATTTACACATATGTATCTATAAACTGCTTGCAGCAAAATAGGCTCTGTCTGAAAAATCAGTCTGGCACTTGTGGTTAACATCAAACTGACACAAATATGCAAAAAGCCGTCCAAATCACACAACAGTTAGGAGCTACACAGGGCAGCTGGCAGGGAGACAAACGTGTAGTACTTGTTTGGGTCAGATAAAAGCAGTAGGTTATCCAGCTAAAATCCTTCTGATTGTCTTCAAAAGAAATTTTGATAATATCAGTAAAGTGATTAGCAACTTTGTTTTCTCAACTGGATTCTCTTAAACCTTTCCCTCCCCTGCACAGAAAGGTGCCAGTGGGTGCCTTGCGGAAATGAGCTACACGATGGAATCCCAGTCAAAGTCGTCCTGGATGTCGTCTGGAGGCAGGGAGCGCCGCATCTGGAAGGCGTGGGAAGGCATCATGTGCTGCTGGTTCACCGCTCCGTGATGGCCTGGAAGGAAGGAGGCAGTGTCAGCAGAGACTCGGGTAGAGGAGGAACCAACCAACCCCTACTGAGCATTTCCCACGTGCCAGGTACTTGGCACACATGATCTCCCTAATCCACCCGTACGCCTTCAACAAAGTGGCTGTTATGACCCTCACAGTACAAGTAAGGGGACACGATTTATGAGAATGAACAGCTACTCCAAGTCACTCAGCTAGGGGGAGAGAGAGGCTCTGAACTCAGTTCGCTGGCCACCAAATCCACACCAAGCTGTCCCAGGCCACAGAGGGCATGAGGGCACTGACACAACCACTGCTTAGTCTGTTCCGCCCCAACAGCTGATTCAGGGACATGGGTCAGCTCCCATGAGAAGGGAAAACAGAAGGGCAACGTCGGCACGCCACTGAAGTCACACTGGCTCATACTGAAATCTCCCCAGCAGCAGGGCATGTAGAGAACACCCACAGCCGCACGCCGTCACGTCACCCTTGAGGAACACACTGACATGTCGCCTGCTCCTCTTGGGCCCGCACGGCCGTGTGCGCTAGCCTGTGCTCCCAAGGTCCATACCCTCATCCTCAAGTCTTGCCAGACCACCTTCAGAACCAGCTCTGCTTTTTATTTAGAGATTTTTGCTATAGGGCTTGTTCTCCAGTTAAATGTAACTTGTATACAGGAACGTAGAGGACAGAGGTTACCACCTAGTAACTCCTAGAAGTCACCTCCTTTATAAGGTACCGTCCTGGAAACTACAGCTGAGGGAACTCCAATGAAATGAACGGAGCCACATCTACAGAGCTAATCGAGCAGGGTTCTGAAGCTGCTGACACCCTGTCAGAGTCAAATACCTTCGAAAGTACCTAAGGCCCCAGTACAGCTCTATGCCTCTAAACTTCTTAAAGTGGCAGGACAGAATCGTAGCTTCTTGGGCTAAAAGAGTTTCAGGTCCTGTGGTCTAAACACCATAAGAGACTTAATCACTTTACCAGTGTTGGAGCCAAGTGGTTGTCCAGACTCTGCACTCCAAACCCCTTTAATGAGTTCACGGCCCTCTGGAGGCAGCCTCACTCGCAGTGGGGATGGCTGAAGCTTCTCAACTATAAACCCTGAGTATGGACTGCAAAAACACACGCACGTGAATTACCTGCCATCGTTGTTCCTGGAGTGCTGAGCGCCTGTGGGATGTGAGGGTAACCAGGGGGCGGCATCACGGAGGGAGGGAGATTTTGCCTGGAGTCTATGTACAGATTTCCTAATCAGATGTTAAAAAGCAAAGGAAGAAAAACATGTTACCATAACAAGCATTAAAGTCTTAATGTAACTGTTACCTAAAACTAAATTAAGCAGGTAAGGTGAGAAAGAAAAAAAAAGGTATCAGTGCTTTCAGGTGCTAAAACTGCCAAAAGGTGGCGCTCATCTTTTGAGCAAGCTGCGAGGTTGGGTATACCAGTATTAATTCTAAGTGCTACTGCTAACTCTTTCTAAGCTCATAAGCAAGTCATGTCAATTGCTGTCAATACCTCAAGACGGTTTGTGTTTTCACACCCACTACTTCACCTGACCCTCCCACTAAATTAAGGAAGGAAAGACAGAGATTGTATCCCCACTTTATAGATGAAGCAGTGAAGCTAAAACAGGCACCTCTGACTTGCCCCGACACACAGTACTTTGACAGGGTTAAGATCAGAATATGGCTCTCTTAATTCACAAGCTCTTCCTACTATCACCTGGTTCTCCACGGCCCATATGTTCTTCGCAGAAAGCAGGCCCACACATGTGCCTGAGCTGACCAATGGAATGACTGGGAGGTACGAAGTAATGACACAGCACTCTGCCCACAGCCAAGCTACCCTGAACAACGGTGTTCAAGAACGTGTTAGCCTGGAGTGTGCAGGTAGAAATACAGACTTCATTCAAATGGGATTTCAGGAGGTGCTTATTCTTTCAGTGACTGTAGCTATCATGTGTAACAGCTCCAAATGTCAGTTTCATTGAATCATGACGCAAAACAGTAGGGAGACAAATACCATGACCCCTCGCCCAACAGAACCCGGGGAAGAAGGACCTAAAACTGGCTCCCCTGTAAGCGACAGCTAGAATTGTGGAAAGCCATTTCCCTACGGTTTTCTGGTGTTTCGCACAAATTACACTTCAATCCTAGCAATGCTATAATAAGACTAATGAGCAACACCATTTTCTCAGAGAAAACTCATCCTTATGTGTTAAGGTAGGGCATACGTAATCGGCTGCCACTCGTTTCCAGCTGCCACTGGAAAGCTGGACTGTGCAGGCATGAAATGGCCACAGAGACGATCTAGTCCAACCCTTTGGAAATACAGATCTCTGCCCATGAAACTGGAGAAACAGGACTAGAGAGGCTCTGAGACAGAACCAGGAACAGAACCTAAGACTTCTGATCCCCAGCTATAGCCTCCCTGGACAAGTGCCTTCTCCCTGACCCCACTTCACAACAGTGTGTCTGCACACACAGGACAGAGAAGAGAGGGCTTGTAAGAATCAAATGTAAAATCGTGACACTGTACAAAAAGATGCAAACTTGGAGATAAAAGCATAAGAAAATTTTAGAAAGAGAAATAACTTCCTACAGAAAAATGCAGGTCATTGCAATCAGAGCAGGAAACATGACTACAAGGTAAATAGTAAAGAAAAAGAGTGAGATAAAAAATGCAAAGCAAGTATTTCAGGTCTCTGGTAAAACACCAACAAGACTATTTACCATATGCCTACTCCTCAAGCAAACTCTTAACTTTGTTTACTTCCACTTAACATTTTTAGAAGACATACAAGACATTTTGATTTTCACTGTAAATCTGTATAAATATAAATTGATATAACTTCATAACTATGTTCTTCTTATATAGAAATAAGTATCCTAGGACATTTTTGATTATTTAATAAAAGGTTAAAGACCACAAAGCAAATTGTAAATAATAAGACAATCATATAAATCACCACAGAAAAAAATCTCCTTACCTCAGTGTTATTTTTTAAAGACATTTTTATTGTAGGGTGCATGCGCTTGCCAGAGAGATAGAGAGACAGAAAGTGAGAAGTCACCCCCCAGGGCTGATTGCCACACTGCAATCCCTTCTCCTCCATTCTCTTCTCACACACACCTGGTGAGTTTCAAGGCACCAGGTCCTAGATTAGAATCATCGTCAGCCACGTGGGAGTCCAGCATTAACCGCTACGCTACCTGCTTAATCCCTTCAATTTTACTACGACACCTTACATAGAAATTATTTGTTTTTGGGCCAGTAGATGACATGGTGGTTAAAGGTACTGGATTCCCACAAGGCCGACTGTGGTTCAAGTCCCAGACCTGGCAGCTTGCTTTCTCTGGTCAAATTAAAAAATAAGTGGAAATAAATAAATAAACAAACAAATCTTTTTAAAGAAAAGAAATTGTTTTCATTCATTTTTTACAAATAAAAAGATACAAATGAATTACTGATGTAAATAAATCACTGTCACTATTAATAATACACAAAACTGCCTAAGACAGTTGCTGAATTTCAAATGAGATAAAGAGAAAAACTGAGACGGTAACTAAGACCATACCTGTTCCAATGTGTGGAGAGGGTTTGGTTGGATGCATGGCACCATGACAAACGTTCTGCTGAACATTACTCTGTGAGTGGATAAGGCCAGTTTGTGTAAAAAACTGATTAAGAGAAGAACAGAGATCAGCAAACTGAACCTGATCTAAAGACCAGTTCTTGAGATCTGCCTGTCTCATACTCTCCATCAGACCTGTAAGGAAAGCATTAGAAATAGAGTTAGCATTGTTCTATGAACACTGCAAGGAAAATAACAAGATACCATTTTTTCCAGCTCTCAAAATTTCCACTGGCTCATTCTAGATTATGGTAGTGATCTGTTCAGACAGTGAAGGATGGCATTTTTAAATTATGCAAAACATCTCTCACTATTCTTGTGTGACTCTCTACTTTGGCCAAAATACTTTATTATGAATTTTACAAAGTGTTATTTATAAACAAGCTAACAAATGCAATAGAAATGTTATACAAGGATACATTTATTTCTATTACAAAGAAAATGTATAATCCACTAGAGTATAGGATTGAGTATTTGGCTGTATGTCAAAAGGAACCAATACTCACCTTGGAACTGTGAAAGGTCTACATCTGACCAATTAACACTGCTGGCAATTCGACAGCTCTCTTTTAGCATATCAAGTGTTGCATACCAATCGTTTGTAACACCTATAGAAGTAATATTGACAACCCTGTAATTCTTGGATAAAGTTTGAAATGTATAAAAAGAAAAATCAATGAGTTGGCCTTATTTCTGACATTGGTCGATCCCTGTCTAGTCTTACAAAGGGACTCATTACATTATGTGTTAGGATGATCTGCTCTGTAAGACAGGCAGAAAGGGTATTATATCCCACTATTTTATAAGCAAACTTGAGCACAAAGAGGTGGCATAATTTACCAAGGCCACCATGATGAATATAAAACTTGAACTCATTTCTAACTTCTAGTCTGGCAGCTTGCAAATTGTTCTATCATCTTACAATGTCAAATTTGATACTACTCTTGGGACCAGCAGTTGGTGTAATGGCTATGTCGCTGGACTCCCATATAGTCAACCATGGTTCAAGTCCTGGACCCAGTGGCTTAAACTCATGCCAGGCGTGTGTGCATGCATGCCCAAGATCCCGAGAGGAGAATGGAGGAGAAGGGACTGCAACATGGCCATCCTCCCTGGGGGGTGATTTCTTGCCTTCTGTCTCTGTCTTTCTGGCAAGCACATGTGCCCTATAGCAAAAAAACTGCCCCCCCCCAAAAAAAAAAAACTGATATAATTCTTTACATTCATATATTAATAGTACAAATAAGTGACCAGGCAAGGAAAGTCATGCACATCAGTAATTCCCCCTACGTTCATTTTCCTATCTTGTTACGACAATAAAAAATAGGTTCTTCATAACTTACAGAGGCAGGTTCACATTTAGGAATAACACACAGTAAAAGTTCATATAATGACTTAGGGAAGCACATTAGATCATACGGTAAGAATGGATGCTCACAAACAAACCTCAGGAGAGAGAAATGCCTTAACTCAGTTCTACCACCAAAATGGCGAAGGAGAGGGCTGAGCCTGTGAGAAACGCCAATGTGATGTCTACTCGGGAATGGTACCCTCTGATGTGACATCATCAGTGAGTTTCAGACTCCACAGTCTGGAGCCTGGCAGGAGGCGTGGTGCTTGAGGTACTGGACTCCCACATGACCAACCACTGTTTGAGTCCCAGACCTGGTGGCTTGCTTTCTCACTTTCCCTTCCTCTTTCTCTCTCTGAGCAAATTAAATAACAATAATAACAAATACAATTAAATAGATAATTCTTAATAAAAAAAAAAACAACGGAAGATTTCATAGTCTGTATGTTAGCAAAGTAGCTAACTACACCAATCAGGAGCCATGGGACAAGAGTTGTCCTCAATCGGACAGTGCTGAATGGAGAAGAAATCTTTTCTGTAACTGCTACCAGCTTACTCTGTTTTAGGATCACTCCCAGAGAGATCAAAGTAAGGACTAATACAAATTACTTTTTGCTACAACACAGATAACTCTTAGTTATATCAACTACTGGCTACTTAATTTGTAAAATTCTCCCAGATATGGATTTTTAAATAAACAATAAAATAAGGACAATATGACCTTGCCTTCAAGCAACTTATCATTTGAGAATTTTATTGAAGGAAAAAATTACACTAATGTCCTAAATGAGCCACAAGCATTCACATCTATCAGACTCAGATCCTCTAGCCCAGAAAGAAGTTCATTGATGAAGAAACCAAGGTTCAAGGGAATTATATGATTAAAGTTAGTCAGGTAATAGGCAAAGGAATATGAGAATCCAGATCTCCTGAGGTAAATGCAACAAAGCCAAAAGGTCAGGACTCATTTTTAATTTGTACCGGGGGAAGGAGAGGTTCCCTTAATAAATGCTCACTGGGCAAACAAAAATAAAGTAACTGTTGCAGAAAGTGGGTGAGCAAAACCTACCCATTTAATAAATGCTGGTTCTAGATGTTTTAGAATAACTGGTATTACAGGCTTTGTGATGTCAAGACAGGTCAGGATATAAATCCTGGCTCTACCACTTACACACTTAACAGCAGTGTGATTTTTGAACAAATTGCTTAACCTCTTTGAGTTTATTTTACCTATCTGTACAACGTGGTCATTTATATTTGATTGGAAGGATAAGATGAGACAATGTATTGAAACTGACTCATACATAATGGGCATCAATTTCAAACATTTGCTACCATGTTCCCTCCATCCCTTCCCTGTTAAAGACAGCCTGCTTATTCTCATTGTATAAATGAGAAAAATGTAATTCAGAAAGATGAATTATTATCACAGCTGCGATGATTATTCATAACTCAAGGTAAAAGTCTATTTTCCTTCTCTGGCAAGCTACTAGTGGCATAATAGACCACTAAGGGCATATCATAGTTGGTTTTTTTTTTTTTTGGCTCTAATTGTACTTTTTTCTCCCTTGACAACCATTAGACCTAACTAAAAGGAAGATATAACCAGAACACGACAGACGTCTACAAACATCCAACCTCTATTCATCTGTCAATCCCCAAATCATATTTAGACTAGGCTCAAGTTTCTGAAGAACATATTGACAATCAAAGACACACAGCAGTGGCCTGGCCTTGCAGCCCTGCAGCTAAGTGCTGTGCACTGGGAGCCAGATCCCACACAGTCAACCAGGATCCATATGCCACCCGACAGCTCAAAAAACATTGCATGTGTGTGTGTACCAAATCCTGACACAGTGAAGAAACAGAAAAAAAGACCTGCAGCATGACCAGGCCCCACTGGGTGCTTTCACTCATGCATGTGGACACACGCAACCCTCTGGGGGAAGAAAGGCACACAATAGTGACTGACATGAAACTCAAAGAATTTAAACTCTCATTATATAGCTTCTTCCTCTAGGTATATATTCCAAAAATCTCCTCACAATGTGCAGGAAATATTCCATCAAGACAGGAATTATACACAATTTTTAATTTTATTCTAGAACCTCAGAATTAGTAACCAGGAAAGCAAAACCAACTGTTAAAACAAAATATTGAAATAACTGCTTGAAAGATGTTTTAAAAATATGCATTGTATTTTGTTGGTTGTTTTGATAAAATACAAGCAGTAAGAAAAAAAAAACGCAGGACCAGCAGATGGTATAATGGTTCCATCGCTGAACTCCCACGTAGTCAACCACAGTCTGAGTCCTGGACCTGGCAGCTTAAAACTCACACTGCATGTGTGCATGCGTGCCCAAGATCTCAAGAAGAGAATAGAGAAGGGATTGCAGTGTGGCCATCCTCCCTGGGGAGGTGATTTCTTGCTGTCTCTCTGTCTCTTCGGCAAGTACACATGCCCTACAGAAAAAAATCTCTCTTAAAAACAACAACAACAACTGTGTGAAGCCATCTTTAATTTCAGGTTTTAAGGCCCCAAATAACTTCTCAGATAATTAAGGAGCAGAAAGGGAGTGTGAACTTTACATTATCAAGGATTTACTAAGTTCCAGTACATTTTGTTCTGTATCTTATTTAATTCTCTCGAAAAAAGAAAAAAAAAAAATTTCCACTTTGTAAATAACAAAACAGGTTCAGAAAAATGTGTTTTATAGTAAAGTCACAATATAAAAAATAGTCTATACTTTCTAAAGCTCATTTCCTTGACAACAGTTGAAGTGCTTGACATGGTAGTTAATTTTTAACTGGTAAATAAGAACTAGCACTCTTAAAAAAATTAGTACTCTATTCAGAAATCTTTCCTCCAAAATAAAAATATGTTTTTCTCTTTATATAGTTAAAGGTCTGGTGAAACTTTACTGGATTAGGAATTTTGATTGTTTTTTTTGTGACACACAAAAAAATTTTTTTTAATCACAACTGAGAGGCCAGCAGGTGATATAGTGATTAAGGTGCTAGATTCCCACATATGTGGACCGCAGTTCAAGTCCCGTACCCACACCCAGTGGCTTGAAGATCATGCCAGGTGCGTGTGCATGAATGCCCAAAATTCTGAGAGGAGAATGGAGGAGAAGGGACTGTGGTGTGGCCATCTCCCAGGGGGTGATTTCTCACTTTCTGTTTCTGTCTTTCAGCAAGTGCACGCATGAAGCCATCTTTAATTTCAGGTTTTAAGGCCCCAAATAACTTCTCAGATAATTAAGGAGCAGAAAGGGAGTGTGAACTTTACATTATCAAGGATTTACTAAGTTCCAGTACATTTTGTTCTGTATCTTATTTAATTCTCTCGAAAAAAGAAAAAAAAAAAATTTCCACTTTGTAAATAACAAAACAGGTTCAGAAAAATGTGTTTTATAGTAAAGTCACAATATAAAAAATAGTCTATACTTTCTAAAGCTCATTTCCTTGACAACAGTTGAAGTGCTTGACATGGTAGTTAATTTTTAACTGGTAAATAAGAACTAGCACTCTTAAAAAAATTAGTACTCTATTCAGAAATCTTTCCTCCAAAATAAAAATATGTTTTTCTCTTTATATAGTTAAAGGTCTGGTGAAACTTTACTGGATTAGGAATTTTGATTGTTTTTTTTGTGACACACAAAAAAATTTTTTTTAATCACAACTGAGAGGCCAGCAGGTGATATAGTGATTAAGGTGCTAGATTCCCACATATGTGGACCGCAGTTCAAGTCCCGTACCCACACCCAGTGGCTTGAAGATCATGCCAGGTGCGTGTGCATGAATGCCCAAAATTCTGAGAGGAGAATGGAGGAGAAGGGACTGTGGTGTGGCCATCTCCCAGGGGGTGATTTCTCACTTTCTGTTTCTGTCTTTCAGCAAGTGCACGCATCCTATAGCAAAAAATCTCTCAAAAGAAAAAACAAAATCATGACTGATAGGATGATATCTAAGACAGCCAGGGAACTGCCCACGATTCTGTGGCAGACGACTCATCCCACAGTTTCTAGAGGCTTATGTTTCCTTATGACTTCCCTGGTTTGTTAACAGAACCAAATATATTCTGCTTCTCAATACCATATATAAAGTAAAATGTCAAATGTAGGTCCACTTAAACATGCTTTTAATGATTGTTTCTTACTTAGAAATTACTAATGAATACCTAGTCCTTACCTTAGCATTAACTCTAAAGATTCTAGAAACTCTTTTTAGGCTGACATATTGTAACATCAGACAAAACTATCATCACAAGAAAAAAATCTTATCGTGACATAGTTGGTATTTGGACAGCCAGACAAGCTGAAGGAAGGACCTGTTCCTTGCACAACTCCCAGGCCCCATCCACCCTGCAGTCTATGTCCATGACACCCTCTTGGATTTTTACAGAGCAGAGCCTATCTGGCCTGTGAGCAAAGTCAATTAATCACCTCAACAGAAACCATCAAGACCTATCCTAGCTAAAGAGCAATGAGTTTTTTTGAAGTAGGCTATAAAGAACATTTTCTTCCTCTGCAATCAATCATTTTAAAATAAAATATTTGGGATAAATAAGCAAAGCAAAAAAATAAATAAATAAAAAGAAGACCATTCATGAATATTTAAATGCAAAGTAGAGTCTAGGTGTTTCATATTTGTAGTCTCAACATCGTGCTCATTACAACTGTATACCAGCTATATTTTAGCTCGATGTTGATAGATGAAAAAATAACGAGGCTAAAGGAATTTTTCCCAAGGTTGAAAGAACCATATGAGTTTTAAATACAGTTCTTTAAATACAGTTCTTTCTGACATAAACCTATATACTTTCCTCTATACCACAGGGCATCATGAGAGACTGCAGACAAACTATACATTCCATTCTCCTTTCATAGCTTCACAAAAACATTTCCAGTGGGCAGAAAGACAAAACCAGAGTAAAAACCAAAACCTGCAAGGGTGGCAGTTTGCCTGCATTACCACAATAAATTGTAATCAAGAAAATCTCCAGATCAATCTATGGATTATATGAGTCACAACTACAGGATTACATCAAGGAAACATGAAAGGAGATAGATATAAAAAGGATCTTGGTAGTAAATACTACATGAGCCCCCAAAACAAAGGGTAGATCCTAATTCACAGTTAGCCAAACACAAGCAAGGAGACAAAAACTTACCAGAATTACAGGATACCTGTTGTGGGGGTGGGGGTGCCTGATGTGTTAACGTCTGGTGCTGATGGTTCGGATGGTGCTGTATGTGCTGATGTGAAGAGGGGTGCTGGGGGTGAGGGGACTGGAGCTGGCTGTGTTGCTGCGGGTGCGGTGCTGGGTGTTGGGGACGCTGCGGATGCTGCGATAAACCATGCGGTCGATGGGGTGGATGTGGAGCCGGCTGTGTGTGCATCTGGGGGTGAGACAGTGAGACTTGAGCAACCGAATTACTGCCCGTGGCATTGAGGCCACTACCATGACTGTTGGACAGGCTGCTTTGGTTGCTGTGTGGGTGAGAGCTCACAGTACTGCTAGGAGAGTGCTGATAGGAACACGAAGTGTGGGACTGCTGGGACGATTCAGAAGGGATATTCATCAAACCTAAAAACAGAAACCACAGGATCAATTATAGTCAGATTTCAGTTGTGTTTTATGATAGACATATGGCAAATTATTTGTAGAGCAAAATTATTTACATGTTGCTGGGAAGTAATACTGGTTCAATCTGACAATGTTTATGGAGCATCAGGCACACACTGGGCTCTGAGACCACTGAGAAGAGTGAGATGGAGAAGAATCTGCTAGTTCTCCCTCTTCATCTGCACGTTTCCTCTCTTACAGCCCCTCAGAACTTTACAAAAAGTCAAGAGCCCAAACTATTCTGAAGAGAATAATTTGAAAACTGATCTAAACTAATTCTCTTCATTGTACAAATGGGACACTGAGGTCCAGAGAGGTAAAGTTAAAGTCAGTTGTCTTCCTGGATTAGAACTCGGAATTCCTATCAATATTCTCTTGCTTAGAAAAATCATCTATTAAAGTTAGATTTGCTTGGCAAAGTCTTAGATTAATTATTTTTATAGCAAATTTAAGACAAAATTGAGAAGACATATGAATCTTACATTTTGATCCCCTCACATGACTAAAATTAGACCAGTAGCTAATAGGATAAGAACACATTATAGCATTTGGTTGAGATATAATACATCTCAACTAAAATCACCTTTAGTATTAAAATCTAAATTAACTGTTGTACGAAACAATGAATGAGAGCTTACCATTACCCAATCTGTTCACTAATTAGTGTGACATGTAAAATCACAAACTGGGGGCTGCTACATTCTGATAGCTATCTCTTTGCTAATACCAATCAGAACAAAAGCAAGGTGCATCTATTCTCGTGGTGCAACATTCACCACTCAGACACCTCACATGTCAGACTTCGCTAGTGAATCACGGCAGTCTTTCCCACATGGCACAGCAGTATCCAAAGTCTTCCAAGCGGTACTCAAGGACATCAATAGTAATCAGTGAAACAGGTATGTTAGGTAAAAATTCACCACTTCAGTGAGATGGTATAAATATGCACAGCACACAGCAAAGGCATAAAAGGTATAAAATAATTATCCAACCCTGGTTATGAGGATAATGTTCTAATGATTAAGAACGTTAATAGCTATTGTGTAAAAACATTAAAAGACAAGCCCTCAATAAAAATTTACATTTGTACAAAACTTAAACAACTCACCTTGTTGACTAAGTGACTGCTCAAAAACTGACTTATAAAGGCTCCGAAATGAGGCACTAAGATCTTCAAAATTATATTCTGAGAAAAGCAGCTTGTCTCGTTCTGGAAGGTTGTATTGTGGCTGCTGCTGAGGAGTTACTGACTGCGAGACTGGTTCTCCTGGATGGTTTGAAACCTTTCATTAAAAGAAAACACAACAAACTCTGGCTCAGTATTACTACTGGTCTGTTACATGAAATACAAAACTGAACGCATTAGTGAACGCTAGAATGTGAAGAAAATGACCTCTGCTTTTGACTTTCCTATCCTTCGTTAAGGTAGGTAACACATAAAGGAAAAAGCGCAAAATTGTTAACTTGGATTTTAAGAACCACAGAAGTGTAATTCAACCTCCACAATTCACAAAAGAGGGAAAGGAGTTCAAAGAAGTTATGACTGCCCAAGATCATACACATAAAAGATTTAGGCCTGGAATAGTTCCACTTTCTGTGGAACGTTCATCTTGATGCCTATAGAAGCCAATTTTATTTCAAACTCTACTATGTATATACAAGGGGGCTCCAAAAAGTTCATAGGAAATGTGCATTATCCAAAAAACTATGTATATATTTCAGGGTGGATCCTTTTGCATCAAAATAAACTCTTATTTCAACTTGACTCTTCCATGAGCTTTCTGAAGTTCCCTCTTACTAACATTTCTTTCATTTATTCAATTAACTGGCAAGTACATAAGCTCAAACACTGAGAACTGAGAGTCAGATGTGTGGCACTGCCCAAAACAGCAAGAAGCTTGAGAAATGTGCTTAATTCTTGATTCCATGACAATTTTTAAAAATAAGAAGGAAAATGAGAAATGAAGGGTTTTGTAAAAACAAAAGATTCTGATGAAAACAGATTATGTCAGGGTCTTGAGCTATGCGGTGATGAAAGCACTAAAAACACCTTAAATATAAAAATTATCTTTGAAGACAGCACGATTAGAAATAAAATTAAAAATATGTTTAGATATATTTCTAACGATCATTAAAGGATAGTATACTACCATTTGTTTAGTGTTTAAATAATTAAGGAATGAACACTCACTGGAAATGTATGCAGCCATTTTAAATGACACTCATAACATAGAAAAAACATGAATTTTATATAAGGGAATGGCTCCACCGCTGGCACCCTGCTGACCTTAATTGTCACGTAGGCAAGGCTCAATGGCAAGACTGACCTAAGCCTCAGTGTAACACCCTATGATTATCCTGGAATGTGAAATGACAAGTGGTCTTATGTGAAACAAATTCTCATCTGCTTTCCTATCTTGTCATGGAAAAGTTTCTCAACAACCTCTTTATTTTGCAGGAAATTTCCAAGAGGTTTCTCATCTGCCTCCCTGGTTCGGTGAGGCATGGGACTTTCTGCCTTACTCTGCAAGGGTACAGCTGCAAATTATAAAACTGTTCAGCTTCAGTATGAAATACATTCCTCCATTACAGAGTGCCCCACTATTGGTATGTATCACCTGGCTTCTCTGATTGTCATGTGGGATGCAGGGAGCAAACACCTGGCTTCAACTGTTTGCCAGTAACACAATTGTCTCCATACTTACCGGCTCACAGTGTCCATACAGGCGCAACCTTTCAATAAATGACAAGGCCAAACAGCAGCTGCAACTGCAATGCTACTTAAGGACTGCCTGACTACTCCACCTCTTGTTATTAAATGGCAAGAGCACTCTAAAATGCCTAGTTTCTTCTAGGAATTCAGCCCTCTTAAAATTTACTGGCACAGGGAACCAGCAGTTAGCGTAATGGCTGTGTCGCTGGACTCCCATGTAGTCAACCGCGGTCCGCGGACCCGGTGGCTTGAAACTCACGCCGGGCGTGTGTGCGTGCACACCCAAGATCCCAAGAGGAGAATGGAGGAGAAGGAACTGCGGCGTGACCATCCCTCCTGGGGGGTGATTTCTCGCTTTCTGTCTGTCTCTCTCTGTCTGGCGAGCACACGCACCCTATAGCGGAAACCTCTCAAAAAAAAAAAAATTTACCGGCACAAAGACCTGTTCTTACTTCTGTTGACTGATCCTATGAATGCTCTTTAGCATTTCTTTCTTTCTTTCTTTTTTTGAGAGGTTTTTGCTATAGGGCGCAAGTGCTTGCCAGAAAGACAGAGAGCGACAGAGTGACAGAAAGCGAGAAATCACCCCCCAGGGGGAATGGCCACGCCGCAATCCCTTCTCCTCCATTCTCCTCTCAGGATCTTGGGCACACACGCACACGCGCCCGGCATGAGTTCAAGCTACCGGGTCCAGGACTCAAGCCACGGTCGACTACATGGCAGTTCAGCAACATAGCCATTACGCCAACTGCTGGTCCCTAAAGTTTTTTCTTCTTTCTTCCATGACCAAGACATCACTACCCACTCTCAGCTGGCCCAGATCACAGGCATACATGCACCCAGAACCCTCAGGGAGGTCCCAGGACCTTTCCTACGTGGGTAAATTGTGTTACCACTGCACCACCACCTATACCACACACTTAAATTATCTTTAAGAGCAACTTCAAATCACCAAATCTTTGCTTACTTTGCTTCAATGTCCAATTAGTCTTTTTATATCATAACTTCATCATTACTGATTCTGTGCTTTGATTTACTTCATGATCGATCAAGTAATTATTTTTTCAGGAAGGACGAATGAGAGCACAGGCAGGATACTTATTCACTTATGAAGTAACTCCTTTTGGACAGTGACACAGCAGTAACACCAGTGGACCCACAGGGAACATCCTGTGTTCGTGTCCTGGGATCTCACTGACATGTGTGCCTGTGATCTGAGCTGGCTGAGACGGAAAGACCGAAGGTGACTGGCAGTACGAAGACCTTCTTGGGGGTACTGTCTCTCTCTCTCTTCTTATCTCCCTCTCCACCCCTTCTGTCACAGGAGAAATAAATAAACTTCTAAAAAAATTTAAGAATATAACAAAGACCACCTCTTTTGCCTTCACATACGAATGGAAATTCAGCTGGGAATAGAGCACATGTTATTCCATGTCTATTCCTTCAAAACTGAATAAAGTGCTCTGTCATCTTCTGGCATTTAATATAACTGAAGATTTATTTGTGTATCCTTATATATAATTTACTTGTATGGGTAATTATTTCTGAAATTCTTAAGGTTTGCCATAATATAGTTTCTCACTCTATTTTTCCTAGAATTCGGTTAGCCTTTAAACTTCTATTTCTTCTGAAAACTGTTTCTGTACCAACTTTTCTGATTTCTTCTTTAGAGATACCTGTAATTCTCAGTTCTTCATGTTTATTTGTATTGTCTTCTTTTACTTCTTCGTTTTTATTCCCTTTTATGTATCTTCTGCATTCCGGGGAGAATACTTTTAATATTTTTTCCAGACCACTGGTAACAGCAGAGTCAACTTTCTTTTTTCTTATAGCGTGAATTTTAATTTTGTTCTTTGAGCTTTTGTTTCCCTTGTGTTATTTTCTTATTTCAGATCCCTCTTTATCTATTTGTCCTGTGTAAGGTTTTTTCCTGTTTAATCATTCTGAAACAGGGAGTGATCTAGTTAGATCAAAATTACACCAATGAATAGAATGGTGTACAGCAGCTGGTCTCTGTTCTCTGACCACTGGGGAGAATAGTTGCCAGATGGTTTGGAAAAAAAAAAAATCAGATAATCCAAGGGTCATGTTCTGATAATAGGTAACAAATTAGCACAGGAGCAAAGCAAAAACATACACAGGTCCCTTTATAACATGGATTTCCAGACCAAAATTGAAACTACAAGAGCAGTCAGCAACTGAGTGGGCTATGTATCTTCTGCATTCCGGGGAGAATACTTTTAATATTTTTTCCAGACCACTGGTAACAGCAGAGTCAACTTTCTTTTTTCTTATAGCGTGAATTTTAATTTTGTTCTTTGAGCTTTTGTTTCCCTTGTGTTATTTTCTTATTTCAGATCCCTCTTTATCTATTTGTCCTGTGTAAGGTTTTTTCCTGTTTAATCATTCTGAAACAGGGAGTGATCTAGTTAGATCAAAATTACACCAATGAATAGAATGGTGTACAGCAGCTGGTCTCTGTTCTCTGACCACTGGGGAGAATAGTTGCCAGATGGTTTGGAAAAAAAAAAAAATCAGATAATCCAAGGGTCATGTTCTGATAATAGGTAACAAATTAGCACAGGAGCAAAGCAAAAACATACACAGGTCCCTTTATAACATGGATTTCCAGACCAAAATTGAAACTACAAGAGCAGTCAGCAACTGAGTGGGCTGCTTTAACCACTGGGGACGGATTATTAAATCCCTTTCTCAGATCTACAGGTGGGAAAAACGCTTGATACACATCTTCTAAGCTCTTTTTTTCAAGGCAGGCAGAACAACATCAACTATTGCTCTGCTAGACTAATGTTTATTTTCTCCCTATTCCAACTGCTTTTCTCTTTGTCACAGAAGAGAGTGAAATAGACCAAAACATGTAATACAGCATAACCATATACTGGTATCCAGCCTGGTAAAACATAAATACCACATTAATATACTATGAAATAGAAATCTGCTCTACTTAAGCCTATTCTACATACTAAATTAATGAATTAATTAGTGTGAGATATACACCTTTCATTTTCTATTTGCAAGTCAATTACATTTGGTTAATTTTTTTTTTTGAGAGTTTTTTTGCTAGAGGGTGTGTACACTCACTGGAGAGAGACAGAGTGAGTGAGAAATCACCCTCCGGGGGATGGTCATGCTGCAATCCCTTCTTTATTCTCCTCTCAGGATTTTGGGCAAGTGCACACAACTGCCCAGCGTGAAATTTAGGTTGCCAGGTCTGGAACTCGAACATCAGCTAGTCATGTGGGAGACTGGTGCCTTAGCCACTACACCAACTGCTGGCCCCACTTTTGGTTTAGTTATAAACACGAAGTAAATACCCAACAAAAAAAGCAAACTTCACCAAGACTTACCGGTGTGTAACTATGTACACTTCCAACACTGTTCAAATTAACAGATGCCAAACTCTGGTCTGAGAGACTGTTGTTAAGGCTGCTCCGAGGGCTATCACTACCATCCTGATCAGTGTTATACAATGTTACCTAGAATGAAAAGAAAAGGAACAACTGAGTAAGTAGTTCCTACATAAAGTGAACTTTTAAAGAATTCTACAACACAACTAAACAGAATTGGGCAGGAAGACAAAATACCAGAAGTCTTTTCCTTTGGTCCCAATTCCATGTCTCTCACCATTTTGTGTTTATATGAGATAATTTTCTCAATACTCTGAAACTAAAGGATATATCTGTATAGACTTACATAAACTCGATTTATTATCAGGTGTAATTAGTGTATAAACATTTAACAAGACTATTACAGTAGATATTTATTGCTAAATACTTCTATAATACATAAATATACTTTTGCTCAAGCTTTAAACAAAACTATTCTATCAAAATCTTCTATCAACTGGCATTGAGGGACAGTTGGTGGAGTGGTGGTGAAGGCAACTAGAACCCACATGGCCAGCTATGTGATTCAAATCCTGGACCTGGCAGTTTGAGAAACACTCTAGATGCATGTGTGTGCATATCCAAAATTCTGAAGGGAGAGAGAGAGATGGAGGAGAAGAAACTAGCATAACCATTCCCCATGGAGCACTTTTTGTAAGCTTTCCTTCTAACTCTCCCTCTTTCTCTGTCTCTTTTCTGCAGGTACATGTGCCCTTGAGCAAATTTTAAAACCTTAGGCATAGAAAGCAGCACACAAACAAACAAACAAAATTTAAAAATAAAATTGGACTGGCCCCGCGTGGCTAACTATATTTAAGTCTAGCTCCAGTGGCTTGAAAAACACTCTGGTACATGTGTATACATGCTCAAAATTGAGACTGGATGAAGAAAGGAAGAAGGAACTGCAGCATGATCATATCCTACTGGGGGCTGCTTTTTCCCTCTTCTTCTCTCTCTCTCTCTAGTAAGTACGCATGCCTTCTGGCAATTAAAGAAAAATTTAAAAACTATACATATACATGTGTGTGTATACACACACACACACTAAAATGTAATAAACCATATATCAAACTGTTAACAATGGTTAACTGGCAGAGGCTATTAAAGAAACTTTTTAAAAATATTTCTTCCGTGAATAGAAGTGAGAGAGAATCCCCAAGAGTCCTGACACCATGATCTACTCCCAGTCTGCAGCCCACCCCAAATCGTAAGCCATTCTGTGTCCGGAGTACTCGGAGAGGCCTCTGAAAGCAAACTGGGAACTTTCACGCATGAGAGTGCCTCACAAATCATTAAATTTTATCACTATACCACCATTTGAAACCCCATACACACAAAGACTTCTACCACTGATGGTGTTATTTATCTTTACACTGCTTGAACTGGTCTATACTAAGCATTATGATTTTTAATTATAAAATTATGAATGTTTTAAAGAAAGATTTTTGCTATAGGGCATGTACGCTCACCAGAGAGACAGAAAGAGAAATCACTCCCCAGGAGGGATGGCCACACCGCAATCCCTTTTCCTCCATTCTCTTGGGACTCTGGGCACACACATACACACACACATGCCCAGTGTGAATTTCAAGCAGAGGCTATTAAAGAAACTTTTTAAAAATATTTCTTCCGTGAATAGAAGTGAGAGAGAATCCCCAAGAGTCCTGACACCATGATCTACTCCCAGTCTGCAGCCCACCCCAAATCGTAAGCCATTCTGTGTCCGGAGTACTCGGAGAGGCCTCTGAAAGCAAACTGGGAACTTTCACGCATGAGAGTGCCTCACAAATCATTAAATTTTATCACTATACCACCATTTGAAACCCCATACACACAAAGACTTCTACCACTGATGGTGTTATTTATCTTTACACTGCTTGAACTGGTCTATACTAAGCATTATGATTTTTAATTATAAAATTATGAATGTTTTAAAGAAAGATTTTTGCTATAGGGCATGTACGCTCACCAGAGAGACAGAAAGAGAAATCACTCCCCAGGAGGGATGGCCACACCGCAATCCCTTTTCCTCCATTCTCTTGGGACTCTGGGCACACACATACACACACACATGCCCAGTGTGAATTTCAAGCCACCAGGTCTGAGACTCAAACCATTGTCAGCTACATGGAAATCTAGCAACATAACCATTATGGCATTTGCTAGTCCCCATAAAATTACAAATTTTAAAAAAGAAATGTTTAAAACAGAAAACCAGCCTGACGGGCCAGCCTCAGAGGCACAACAGTAAAGCAATGCTGTGCAATAGTAAGATCATACAGGAAAGCGTCCCTAGGCACACCAGGCACACAGGGTGCCCGAGATTCTGGCTGGCTGAGGCTGGGATAGAACTGCCGTATAAAGACCCAGCTGGAGATGTACCCCCTCACTGTCTGCCTCCATCATGGAATAAACAAACCTTTTTTTAAAAAAAAAGAAGTAAACCAGCCTAACTATCCTTTAGGTTTTGCTCAGATGCTACTACGTACTTTCCTCTCTATGCTCCAACTTTCAAACAAAGTACACCTGACTTTGAAGACCAACCAATATCCACCACTAGATTATTATCTTCTTGAGTTGCCAATAAGTAATCACGATCTGGTGCTTCCTGCACTGAATACCCTTAATAAATATTTGCTAAATTTTGTAACCACTGGACCATGCTGTCTGTGCTAAGAACAGTCATCCTCAATTTAACATTTGCCCAAAAGAGCCTACACACATGGAAATCTAAGCATATATGCTCTATAGCAAAACTAAACTGTCCTGTATCCACATCAGCTAGGAACAATGACTTGTTTAGGAAACACACAGAATCTTATTTTTTTAAAAAATAAGAAATAACAAAGAAAATTATGGCAAAGATTTTTCTGGTAAATGGTTTCAGTATTTAAAAAATAATAACAACATTATGTGCTCTTTTGAATAATTAAAAATCTATAAACAGTATCAACAAATTACAAGCATCCCATGGTCATTTCTTGGCTGCTCATTCTTTCGTGTCCATGCTCACATACCCATCACTCAAGACATATATACCCTCCATCATCTTAGACAATTACACTTAGTTTGCTTTTTGGGAGAGAGGATAAATATTTTTATTAAAATATAACAAGTAGGGAACCAGCAGTTAGCGTAATGGCTATGTCGCTGGACTCCCACGTAGTCGACCGCGGTTCGGGTCCCGGACCCGGTGGCTTAAAACTCACGCCGGGCGCGTGTGCGTGCGTGCCCAAGATCCCGAGAGGAGAATGGAGGAGAGGGAATTGCGGCGTGACCATCCCCCCTGGGGGGTGATTTCTCGCTTTCTGTCTCTATGTCTCTCTCTGTCTGTCTGACGAGCGCACGCGCCCTACAGTGAAAATCTCTCCCAAAAAAAAAAAAAAAAAAAAAAACAAGTAGAGGGACTAGCAGATGGCACAGCGGTTTCGTTGCTAGACTCCAACATGGGCTATCACGGTTTGAGTACCAGACCCAGTGGCTTCAAAATCATGCTAGGCATGTGTGTGTGCATGCCCAGGATCCTGGGAGGAGAACGGAGAAGGGACTGTGGCATGGCCATATCCCTGAGGGGTGATTTCTCACTTTCTGTCTCTCGGGTGGGCGCATGCACCCTATAGCAAAAAACTCTCTCTCTCAAAAAAAAAACAAAAAAAAACAAAAAAAAAACCAACTATATATATCATGTAGATTGTGTTAAGTATATAAATGATTTTATTTATTAGAAAATGGGCATACCCAAGTAATTACTAACCAGATCAAAGTACAGAACAGCAGTTCTCAAAAGCTAGTCTCAGACCCCTTTTTCAGTCTTAAAGAGCTGATCCTGATGAGCTAGAGGACCAGGGTAGGAGGATCACAGTGTAAGACCATACTGAAGGTACTTTGCCTCTCCCTTGCCCCCCAACCCCTTTCTCTCTCAAGCAAACACATGCACTATCACAAATACATAAACTTGTTAAGGAGCTTTTTGCTTATGTTCACAAATCTATTGGTAGTTGGTATATTAGAAATTCAAACCCAAAAACCCTTTTAGTTTATTAATTCATTTTTAAAAAATAATCGGGGCTAGCAGATGGCATGTTGGTTAGGGTGCTGGATCCCCACATGGCTGATGCCATGGTTCCAGCAACTTGAAAACCACATTAGGCATGTGTGCGTGTGCCCAAAATCCCAAAGAGAATGGAAGAGAAGGGACTGCTGCATGATTGTTCTCCCTAAGGGTAACATCTCACTTTCTGCTTCTCTCTGTCTCTCTGTGGTGAGAACACATGCCCTACAGCAAAAACTTAAAAAAAAAAATTTTTTTTTAAATAGTAATAAATCCAATTATGTTTTAACATAAAAATTATTTGCCCCAATAAATAAGTAAACAAGCACAGTGTCATTGGTTCACATTTTTGTAAACCTCAATGCCCGACTTAAAAGAAAACAGATTCTCCTATCTGTATTTAATCTATTTGCAATATATTGTTTGGGTTGATATATAAAAAGAAAACTTAGTATGGAAATACTTTAAGATATTTTAGATAACTGGATATCTTTGATATAATACCAATACACTCTACGAAGCAATGTTTAAAAGATTAGCTGCAATATGGAATCTGAAGCCATATCAATGTACTTTTCATACTCTGTTCCACTAAACCACTCTTCTACCTTGCACTTCGAATGGATCATTTGTCCATCTATGATTCTATAACATCATGCACTGCTTATGAGAGAAAGTTCTGATTTACTAAGTTATACAGACATTCCTCATGTTGACATATTTCATCAAACAACATTAAAAAAATTACACTTGTTAACATCACCACCAATCTCATTAGAAAAATCTTTTTAAAGACTGAAAAGTAGGACCAGCAGGTGGCATAACGGTTAAGGCACTGGATTCGCACTTAGTGGACTGCAGTCTGAGTCGGCGGACCCAGCAGCTTGAAACTCATGCTGGGCACATATGCATGTGTGAGAAGGGATTGTGGCATGGCCGTTCCTCCCCTCCTCCTACCCCTACCCCCACCGAATGATTTCTCACTTTCTGTCTCTGTTTCTCCAGTGAGCATACACGCCCTATAGCAAAAATCTCTCTCAAAAGAGAAAATTAAATAAAGACTGAGAAGCTAGTGGACTCACTATAGTGGATGTAGGTTTTCCAAAATCCTATTTTTTGCTTAAAATCTCAAATTTTATTACTGGCAATAGACACAATTACTCTCCTTAAAAGTGACATACTTGACTTTACTGTTAAAAAAAGAGCTGCTAAATATTCAAATTAAATAGTTATTGCCAGTTATTCTCTCAAGTAAAAACTGATCCATAAACAAAGTAGACAGCCCAGCTTCAATTCAAACATCAACACAAATGCTTTTCCTTTTAGGAAATGTCAGTATGCAACAGAAGTGCTTCACATGTACTCGTTTTACCATGAAAGGTCACAATTTAAAACTTGTTTTTATGGTTTCACCAATAATATTTTTAAGTAAAACTAGGTTTATTTTTTTTTTTAACTAAGGGTGTGTAGCAGTGAAGAGGAATGTGTTTACTAGTACAGTTAGATGTGACTGCCTTGATCTGTGCCAAAGTCCCAGCTGTTTTACACACCTCTGCTTTTGCTTCATCAGTAAAAATGCAAGTATAAAGGGAAAGACCAATAATATTTTATTCTGCTAATAGTTTTGACCTCAGGACTCCCTACAAAGGTCTCGGTTACCCAGGTGTCTACAGGCCACACTTTGCGAACCACTAATGGACTCTTAGCAACACTAATATAGAAACCCTGGTCATGCACATTCTCAGTAAGTATTCTCATCTGTTGTTATCCATTCCACATCTCCTGACGCAGGTAACCACTATATGGGCTTCTATCACTACTGATTGATTTTTCTTGAATTACCAAAAGTTTCATGGAAATGTGTATTATTAAAACAAAACTATGCATGGATTTCAAAATGTTTTTTGCACCAAAATAACTTGTACTTGAATTCCACTTTTCCACGAATTTTTAAAAGTCCCTGCATATGAATAAATGTAATTATATAATGCATGATTTCCTTTTCACAAAGCTTTGCTTCCAGATGCATTAACATATTTTCATGGGGTGACTTGGTGGTATAGCTGTAACATGCTGCTAAAGCAATGGAGAACCACTGGCTTTGTTCCCCTGTGGGCCGCCCCTGCCCAGAGTACACAGCCATGATCCTGGCCATAATCCTGGCTGCCTCGGAAGGCTTAGGGAGGATTGTGGCATGAGATCCTATTCAGTGTGCTTATCTCTCTCTCTCATCTCTCATAAACTTCATACACATACACACACACACACACACAAATTTCCTTCTTTTTGTTTTTTTAAAAAGTAATTTATTCTTTTGTCCAATTAAGAACTTATCATTTATGTCTCAATCCATCTTGAACTGATTTTTTCCTTTGTTTTTTTGGCAGTTTGATTTTAATTCCCCTGATTTAGTTTTCTCTTTATTAAGCCTTTATAGGTTTTCAGAACTTCTTAAAATCTGTCTGTTACCTTTTGTTTATTTTCAAAAATTAAAATATTGCTTCTTCTATTCCTTTTTTCCTCTCCTTTGGAACACCAGTAACAATAATGCTCCATAAATCTCTTACACATTTCTAAATTTTCAATCCTTTTTTCTTTCTTCAATCTGTTATTTTCTACTGACCTGTCTTCCAATTTGTTAAACCTTTCCACTGATGTGTCTAGTTTATTGCGATACTCCGTCTATTAAATTCTTTTCAAAAACAATTAATTTTACTTATTATTATTTTTTCATTTTCTGCACACATACTCACCAGAGAGAAAGAGAGAGAAAGTGAAAAAGCAAGCTACCTGGTTCAGGACTTGCACTGCAGTCAGCCACGTGGGAGTCCCAACACCTCGACCACCACATCGCCTGCTGGCCCCACCTATTAAATTCCTAATTTCAGTTGTTATACTTTTTTCAGCACTATAATTTTGCCTTGATTCTTCCATATAGATTTAAATTCTTTGGCAAATTTTCTATAATTCATCTATTTTATTAAAACATATTAGTCATAATTATGTTACAATCAATATCTAATCACTTATTGAATCTGTTTACATTGTTCTTTTCTTAGTGCAAAGCATACAGGCTAACAGAGAGCAACAGCCCAGAGCAATCACTAAGCTAGGGAGACAAAACTGAAGTTTGGGGCTACCACTATGTAGCCTCAGCTGAGACCACAGACAAGTGCCACCATAGCCAGCTCTTCTGTAGACCTGGTCTTGTCATGTTGCCCAGGCCAGCTCTGAGCTCATGATCCTCCTGTCTCAGCCTCCCAAGTGACTGGCATTACAGGCACATGCCACTGTGCCCATCTCTCTCTATCCTGGTATTTAGTTATTTGGTCCCATTTCTGGGCATGCCTAGAAATTTTTGGCTGAATGCTATATCTTCCTTAGAAATATTACAGATGCTCTAAATGATATTATCTTCCTTCAAAGAGAATTTAACTTAGTTTTCTTCTGCTGAAAAGAATATTAGCACAACCATTCTAATAACAGTTGAAGCTGGTCTATTTTGGTTTACTCTTTCTTACTTATGAAGTAAACTTTTCTCAGATAACAACTTAAAACCCTAGGGTGATGGGACCAGCAGTCAGCATAATGGCTATGTTGCTGAACTCCCACGAAGTTGACCATGATTCGAGTCCCGGACCCAGTGGCTTAAACTCACGCCGGTCACGTGTGCATGAGTGCCCAGGATCCCAAGAGGAGAAGGGATTGTGGCGTGGTCATCCCCCCAGGGGGTGACTTCTCGCTTTCTATCTCTCTGTCTCTCTCTTTCTGGCGAGCGCATGTGCCCTATAGCAAAAAAAAAAAAACAAAAAACAAAAAACACTCTCAAAACAAACAAACAAACAAAAAACAAAACAAAACAAAACAAAACAAAACCTAGGGTGTTTACCATGGCTCTCTCCTTGAAAACTATAAAGTCCAACTTTTACCTCTCCTGTTATATGAGACTGCTGAATTCTGGCTAGTAAAAAATCTACTTTCTTCTTCTGTGTCTAAACCCAAGCACACATGAATTAGGAGTCAGCAATGCCCTAAGTGGATACTGTTTACAAAAAGCTGAATTTACACCTAAGATTCTTCAGGATCTTGGCCCCCTCAAGTCCTGGAGGTTGGCAACCTCACATTCCAGGTTTATGTCCCCAGCTCAGCACCTGCTCTAGGCTGCTGCTCTCTGTCCAGCCTCTATGCTATGCTCTTAGAGTTGGGAAATATTTCCAAAGGAAAATTCACAGGGCTTATTTCAGTGTGCTTCCTTTTTCTCAAGAATCTTGCCCCTAACTAGTCTTAGTCTCTGACCTTTTTAAAATGCTTGCGTATGTTTAGCAGTTTATACAGATAGGCAAGGGTTACTTTGATACTAGTTATTCTATCATATCTAAAAGCAAAAACTCTAGCTCCTTTAACATTCACATTATTCGGTCACATTCCTAGTTACTAACTATTTTCTAATAACCACAACTGTCTATATTTAGGTCCTCAGTATCTCTTTGAGTACTGCAAAGAGCAGGTATCTCTATTCCAACCCATTCGCACCACCAGAAACTCTCAAGTCAGTTGAGCATCATCAGAGACGATTTTTTTTTTTTTTTGAGGGGTTTTTTCGCTTTAGGGGGCGTGCGCTCGCCAGACAGACAGAGAGAGAATACATAGGAGTTGGTATTATAGCATAGTAACAGTATACATAGGAGTTGGTAGTATAGTATTATAGTTGGTATTTCAGGATCCACGGGGATCTTGAAATATATCCTGCAGGGGTAAGGCGAAAGATTACTGCAGTCCTTTGGAGTTTGGTAGCATCATCAGAGACGATTTTTTTTTTTTTTTGAGAGGTTTTTTCGCTATAGGGCGCGTGCGCTCGCCAGACAGACAGAGAGAGACATAGAGACAGAAAGCGAGAAATCACCCCCCAGGGGGGATGGTCACGCCGCAATCCCTTCTCCTCCATTCTCCTCTCGGGATCTTGGGCACGTACGCACACGTGCCCGGCGTGAGTTTTAAGCCACCGGGTCCGGGACACGAACCACGGTCGACTACGTGGGAGTCCAGCGACATAGCCATTACGCTAACTGCTGGTTCCCAGAGACGATTTTTAAAACTACAGATTTCTGGGCACTGTTCCCAAGGACAGAAGAAGTGATCAGATAGACTATAACGGAATCCTGAGAGTACCACCACCATAGACAAATACCTCCTTCCTAAGTGATGGTGACATAATCATTCCATAAAGTGCCATACACAAAAAATCATTACTCTGTACTTGAGCTGCCAATTTCCTTTCTAAATCAGAACCCCAATTATGTCACTTTGATTATAATCTGTCTTATATTTATCCTACCTTTCTACACATAAGACCTTATAAATATTGTATTAGTGCAATGACGTATGTATAACACATACCTGAATGGGTAATCAACAGTTTTGAAATTACCTGACACAGACAAAAGTTTTATGTCTTTGCCTCAATTTTGGTGCCAGTCAATTTATCTATATGTAAATTAATACAATGGAGTATTCTAATTAGTATAATGATACATATCTATGAATAAGAAGATCCTCTGAGTACTTACTATATTAGTGCACTGATGTATAGTGCAATGATGTTCTGTATTTTTCTGTGAACATAAGAAAACAGAAGAGGGAGAGACAGAGATAAATCAAGTGAAAGTCTAAGAAATGGAAAGAGGTAAAACCTAGAGAGAAACGGTGAGAGTAAGGTAGAAAGAAAATATAAACATGGGTATGAGAGACATAACACCTTGAGGTGCTCGTGGTCTACTAGGGGTAAAAAAGCACAAAACTGAATTAATTCATGAGCCTCTCAGAGCCTTTCTAAGGTTTTGAGATAGGAGATTAATCAAGTACCCTATAAAGATAAAACATTTGTATCTCACTCAGTATCTAATGACCTGGTACAAAGTTTTGACTCTTCCATCACAGAAAAGCGTTAACAGACTACCAGATATTGTTTCTGGGTATGTTCCTAGACTTGAGTATCATGAAAACAGACTGACTAGCATTCCAATAAACTCTCTGAATTGTCCAAAATATTTACTTTACTAGCTCCTGTTGATGTCCTAGGACTTGACAATCTTTTTTTTTTTAGCCAGATATCTGGATGGGTAATCAATGGCTTTGAAACAAACTGACTCAATAAAATGCTAGCTCAGAAATTCTATCAATGGGAAGTAGCAGAGTCAGCAATTTATATTAGCGAACTTGCTCCTCAGCGTAGTTGTTAAGCACTGCACAGAAGGAACAAGATCCCACATGGTCGACTGAGATTCAAGTATCAGCCTCGCAGCTCGGAAAACAAGCTGGACATGTTTCCAAGATGAGGAAGCAATGAAGAAGTACAGGAAAAAGGATTGCAACACAACCAGGTTGTGGGGAGGGGGGCTCTCTTTCTCTTTGTCACTCTCATGAATGCATGCACACCCTGGAGCACTGAAGAAAAAAAAAGAATTTAAAATGGTAAAGACCTCCCCCAATAAGCACCTTTCAATTCCTTCTAAGGAATATCTTCTTCTACCTTGTATATACCGTGAAACATTCTAGATTCAACTTTCAAGCTGCCATGTATATGGTAGGCAAATTTGTATCATCCTTAAACTCAAACATATAGGACTTTATTATTATTAAAAAGGCAAACTAAATGTATTACTTAATGACATTTCAAATATGTTTAAATAAATGGAATTACTTTGTTAGTCACAGTGTTGATTGCCAGAGTTGGAGAGGCACTTCCCGATATAATACACTCCATTCCCAAAGAATCTGAATCTATGCTATATGGAGTTGAGGCCTAAAATACAAGAACAAAATAAATAATTATTAGTTCATATATCCAGCAACTGTAACACAGTTTTGAAGGAATTTCTACAAATCTCTAACACTTGGTTTTGTGTTTTGCTTCTGAAAATGAACTTAAATTAGTACCGAAATCTCTCTTATATTTTAGCATTCTACTAACCTGATATTACAAAATCTATTGATACGGCTACTTCCTAGGACAACTCTTTTAATGGCTGAGGGACCAACTGGCCAAAATTACAGTGAATCTTCTATAGTGGAGACTGCTAATGGTTCCTAAGTATTCACTGTCCCCATCTCCTTTTGGTGATAGAATTCTACAGTTATCTAGTCATGTCTGCCCAGCTACGGACTACCTTTTCCAGGTAATGTAGTCATGTAACTAACATATGGCCAATGAGATGCAAGCAAAAGTAATGTGTACAACTTCTGGGCCATGTCTTTAGAAGGAATCTGTTGGCCCTATATTCTCGCTGTCCCTTTTATTAAAACCTGGAACACAGTTATGGAGGGGGGTGGTTTTGCTTCACCATAAAGCTGAGGGTACTAGCCTGGAAACAAAATTAGAAGGAACTCAGACATCTGAATGACTTTGTAGAGCAGAGCTGTTTGTCCTTTCAACTCACATATCAGCCCAGATTTTTACCTTAAAAATAAATCTCTCCCATTTAAGTCTCTCAGTTATAGTTTTATTTTTCTTCCTTTGTCGGTTAAAGCAATTGAACAGTATCCTAAATAATATAACTTCATATGCGTTGTTTATAAAGCTAACATGTGTGTCAAAAACAACACAGGAGGTTTTCTGCATTTAGAATTCTAAATATATACCTTGTGACAACTCATCTCTTTTTCCCAAAACTGGGAAAAAGTTTTATTATTGTTTTAGCAAGTGTTTAAAAGTTCAACTTCAATAGTGATAGCTAAAAAAGGAGTAAATATAAATAATTTATTGCTATGGTGCTAGTTCTGTATATAATCCCTTCAGAAAAAATTGTTCCCATACATGATCCCAACCGAACATGCATTTTTAAAATATAATACTGGATGAGTAACAGAGCAATTTCACTGAGACACATTTCTGAGATTAATCTACTTAGCACTTAATCCTCAGCAGAAACTTCTTTTAGCAGATAGTCTAATCAACCTGAGGATAAGAAATACCAATCTTTTTTTTAATTATTTTATTTTTATTTTTATTTTTTTTTTTTGAGAGGTTTTCGCTATAGGGCGTGTGCACTCACCAGAAAGACAGAGAGAGACAGAGAGACAGAAAGCGAGAAATCACCCCCCAGAGGGGATGGTCACACTGCAATCCCTTCTCCTCCATTCTCCTCTCGGGATCTTGGGCACGCACGCACACGCGCCTGGCGTGAGTTTTAAGCCACCGGGTCCGGGACACGAACCGCGGTCGACTACGTGGGAGTCCAGCGACATAGCCTTTACGCTAACTGCTGGTTCCCTCCACCAAGCACTTGTGCCCTAATGCAAAAATCTCTTAAATAAAATAAAATAATGAAAGTAAAGGGTACTCTATGTACTCTGATACGATGCTCCCTGACTTACCACGGTTTGACTTACAAATTTTTTTTTAATAATAGTCTAAAAGCAATATGCAGTCAATAGACACAATACTTAAGAATTAGTAGCTGAAATATTTTCTACTTATAATATTTTCAATTTATGACTGATGTATTGGGATGTAACCCACTGTAAACCAAGGAGCATCTGTACTCAATAATATGGTATAATTTTTATTTGTAGGTACACTGATTCTATGTTTTACTGAACAAGAAGTAGTGTGATTAGTAAAGCAAGTGTATTTAGGCATCTCAAAATATATTTTGGTAACCCAAATTCTGGACAAAGAAAGTATCAATGATACCCAAGCTAATCTGGGTGGCATCAGTTAGTCTGTAAAAGGTCCTTTCGAGTTATCTTATCACACTCTTTAATTCCACCCATTCAAGTTCTACATCCAGTATGACAGTGTGATACCCATATAAATCAATTTTCTGATGATAACAGCCACAAACAATGATGGCAAGAAAAAAGATGATTAACCGAGGCAAGGCGAGGAATCTAAAAGCAAATAAAACAGACTGTGAAAAGAAGTCAAAGCTTCAAGACCAGCATGCTGGTGAATTTCCTGTTTTGTTATAGCCTTTGCCCCAAGGTGGAGCAGTAGACGGAGAGTATGAACAGCTAACGCTATCTGTCAAGGAAAGCCAGGGGATAGAGCCCAGATAAACATACCAGCCATACAGAGAAGGCAATTCCACGGAGGGGGGCGTGATCGGGAGAGCATCCAAAAAGCCTATAAATGAAACCACGAGAATCTCGGACTGAACTACACATTTAACAAATAAGCATCAAAGTGTTTAGGCTTAATAAATCTAATTAAAACGGGAACCACTGTCCACAGAAGGCGAGAAAGAAATCTTAACAGTTTGAGTCTAACAAAGTTATCAGGTAATCCAAGTTACCTAATAAATAAGTTACAAGAAAATGTAGCCCATTCCCAAGAGCAACAGCAATCTATAAATGCCTGCTCCAAGAAGAGATATTAGAATCATAAGGCAAGGACTGTAAACTGGTTCTTAAATTATGTTCAATGAAGTAAGTAAAGGGGGTTGATCTGATAGTGCAGTTGGTTAATTGCTGTGCATTGGGAGCTGGATCCCACATGGCCAACCACGTTCTGAATCACTGCCTGAGCAACTGGAAATAGATACCAGGCATATGTGTATGCACACACAAATCCTGACCAGAAGGAGAAACAGGAAAAAGTACGGTGGTATGGCCACGCCCCACTGAAAAGTATGTTCTCTCTCTGGTAATCAAGCATGCCCTCTGGCATTAAAAAAAAAAAAAAAAACTTGAATGAAAATATAATAAAGGGGATCTCTAGTAAAAAAATAAAAATATAAAAGAAATACTACTTTATAACTGAAAAATACAATTAATCTAAAAGAAAAGTCAATGAACAAGCAGGCTTAATATCAGAATGGAGAAGCGACAGCAAAGAATCAGTAAACTCAAATATGGATGAATATAAACTATGCATTCTGAAGAACAAAAAAATTGTGGGGGAAAAAAAAGAATAAGAGCCTCAGAAAGGTGTGGAATGACCTCAAAAGATCTAACATATCTGTGACTTCCAGAGGAACAGAAAGAGAATAATGGTCAGAAAAAAATAAGACAGTAAACATCTTTAAAGTGCTGAAAAAAGTGTCAGTTCAGACTGTATGTCTTATGAAAATATTCTGTAAGAAAGAAAGCAAAACAAAGACACTCACAGAAAGAAAAACTACGTGAATTTATTGGCAGGAGACCTGTACTCCAAGAAAGCTATTTAGGTGGAAGGGAAATTATAGCAGAGGAAACTTGGTCCTTGAAGAAATGTAGTAAAACACCAGAAAGAGTAGACGTCCAGGTAAATATAGAAGACTACTATTTTCCTCTTAAGTTTAAAAAATCTGGCCAGCCCATGGTATGATAGCTAAGGTGGCTGGATCTCACATAGCTGACTGCAGAGTTTGAGTTCCAGACCTGAAGGCTTGGGAAACATGTCCTGCACAGGTGTGTGACTGCCCAAAATCACCACCCAAAAAGAGAGACTGTGGTGTGACCATTTCCCACAATGGGTGCTTTCTCACCAACCCCTCCCACTTTCTGGAGAGCACAACCATCCTCTGGCAAAAATAATAAGAAGAGTATCACACAGATCATTAAAGGCAGAAGTTACAATGTCTTGTGCAATTTACAATGTATGTAGTTATATATTAAAAGAACCACAGGTCAAAGAGGACCTGTATTTTATATGAAGGGGAATATTAATTGAGTAGTCTGCAAAAGGTTAGGGGTGTATCTAGAGGAATTCCTAGATAATAAAAAATATTGGGTGGTTGGAAAAGTCATGACGTACTTTTGCATAGAAAAAAAAAGTCATGATTTTCCAATGACCCAATATCTAAAGAGGTATAGCTAAAAAGTCAATAGATACATTTAAGTGAATAGTAAAATATTTCCAAATAATCTAAAAGGCAAGAAATAGAAGGAAATGAGAGGAACTAAAAACACAGAAGTCAAACAAAAAATGAAGAGTAGACCTAAATGAACCACATCAATAATTAAAATAAACGTCAGCATAAATGCTCCAATGAAAAGACAATCTAAAGAATGTAAAAGGCAGGCCTGCAAGTGGCACGGTAGTTAAGCCACTGGACTCCCACACAGCCGACCACAGCTTAGACCCCGAACCTGGAGGCTCATTTTGTCATTCTCTCTCTCTCGTACATGTGTCCTATATCAAATTAAAATAAATAAATAAATAAATGTTTTCTTAAATAAATATTATAAAAGGCTAAAAAAAGCAAGACTCCACTAAAGGCAGCTTAAAAGAGCCCTAATTTCAAATACACAGATACAGAAGGTGGCAAAGAGGAAAAAAGGGGGGAGGAAGAAAAGGAGAGAAAAGGAAAGGCAAGAAACAAAATCGCCTTAATTTATAGGTAACATATAGTTTACAAATTACATTTTTAAATACTAATGCAAGCAATTGGAAAACAGATTTAAAAATCAACTTTCAATAGTATCACAAGACATAAAATATTCAGAATTAAATATAACTGGAAATATGCAAGTCCTCTACTCTGAAAACTACAAAACCAGTCCTGAGAAAAATTAAAGACCTAAAGGGTGGATATTGATTACATTTTCATGGACTGGAATACTTAATACTGTTTAAAGTTCAATTTTCCCCCGATCAGTAGTTGCCTGGGGACTAGAGTAGAGGAAACTTCCTGGGGTGATGATACTGTTTATTTGACACTGATACACAGATGTCAAAATGCTTTAGACTGTAAATTCTAAATATGCAGTTAATTATACATAACTATGCACCAAACCAATCCAAAATCATTCATCAAAAAATGACCTCTCACAATTTATCATGTCCTACATCTCTCACTGGATAGGATTTCTTCCTCTTTT